CTCCGTCTTCGCCTCGACGACACGTTTGAGACCCGTCCTGTTCGCCCTCGCTCTGCTGCTTCAGCCTTTGAGGATGAAGTCGCAGAGAGAAACCTGGTGAATGTGGTGCTGGTTTGTTTTTGGCACGGCGGCTCGCCGTCCCGCTGCAGCGTCCTCGCACACACCTGATCCTGATGCGTTATTGTCACACTCGTAAGCGGTGCACGCTTGATGTCTCTGCATCATCGCTCAATCATCCAGGTAAGGAAATCCAAACAGGTTGATTCTGGATGTTTGCAGTGGGAGAAACATCAGCTGACTGCAGGTTTCCAACCTTATAAACAGCACAGTTACACAATGACTCAAACAATGGCGATGAGGTCATGACCATTAACATGTAAATGGACCACTGATCAATAACCATGAGTCGCATTCACAGAGAGTTGGGGAACGGCTGCAATCACAGCATGTAAGATGGTGACAGATGTACCCTTAGGCCCCTCCTCCATTCAGAGATGGTCTCCTTGACTCCGCCCTCAAACCAGCGTCCTCCCTGTCCAGATGTTACATCCTCATCACTGAGTCCTGATGCTCCTGACACATAAGGGCTCAGTAAAGGTTTTCGGGCAGCAGTTGTCCTTCTTCTCGTCTTTAGGAGCCTTCAGGCTGATCAACAGTCTGGTTGCTGATCAATGGACTGTTTGTCAGCCTGGCTGCAGAGCTGAAGAGAAACCTGGGGTTGTTCTTATTTTCTTCAATCAGTGATGAATAGTAAGATGTTCTGGCTTTGTGGAGGGCTTTCTTATTAAGCAACAAACTATTTCTCCAGGCTAAATGATGATCCTCTAAATTTGTGACATTTCCTCTCCAGCTTACGAGTCGTCTGCTTTAGGCTGCGTGTTTGAGAATTATACCACGGAGTCAGGTACTTCTGATTGGTCACAGGAGCTACCGTCGTACGCAGTGAGGAGGTCAAATGATTAACTAGATAAGATGATAACAGCAGGTGATTTATATCCTCAAGCTCAGTTGCGGCACTTTCAGAAAAACATCTACTGTGACGAAATCGACTCCCCGCTGCTGGAAATAATTAGCGGGTGAATCAACAGAGAGTGTTCTGGATGAAGCGTGTGAAGATTCCACATGAACTCACCAGTCTGTAGTCTCTGTGCAGCTTCTTGTACTGGAACATGTTGCAGAGGACGGTCGAGGCTGCTCGGGCAGCTTTCTGACTCCCGGAGCTAAAAGTGAAGGACAGCAGAGAGCGAGAGAGGACGGGAGGACTAATGAGGCGGAAATACCAGAGCAGCAGGGACTTCATCACAAACATGTCCCGCAGTGTGAAGGAGAGGTTATAACAGACATGTGAAGTCCTAAACAGGACACAAAGGTCGCAGAGGGGTCACAGCTTTGTTTCAGCGGAAACATGAAGAGTCTGAAGAGAAACGGCGGCAGAGCCGGCGACATGAGCGCGACTACACGTACCTGCTGTCGTGGGACGTCTTGATGCCCACCAGTTTGGGGATGCCGTTGAAGTGACAGACGTCGCGGGCTGCCGAGGAGCTGCAGGTGACCAGGTGGTTGAGGGCTCCGCAGAGATTGACCACCACGTCGCTGGATGGCGTTGTCTGCAGGCCGTCTGCGGGAAGCTTGGACACCAGAAGCCCCACCATGTTCTTAGCTGCCACGACACAGAAGAAGGACTTGAATAAGAAAGACTCTGGAGCGGACCTGGACGGATGCACTGA